AGACCCTGGTTCTATAGACCCTAATTCCCAAGACCCTGGTTCTATAGACCCTAATTCCCTAGGTCCTTATTCCCTAGATCCTGGTTCCCTTGGGTTTCACGTTGTCTTCAAAGTAGCCCTTGTTGGTGATGTTGCCGGCGGGGCTGAAGAAGACCACAGCGATGAACATGCCCGCCCCATCCGTCGCCAGGCCGGTGCCCACCTCCCTGGAGGACTTCCACACCATCTGGGAGAAGTTCCCTGGGCACGGGGGAGGAAGGCAGAGGGGTGAGGCGGGGAGACCGCTCCGCTGTGGGGTGTTCGCCACAGGTGGCTCAGGGGCAAGACCGCTCAAGCAATTAAGCATAAACGATGAAAATCAAGAGTCCATTAAGATCAAAAAGGACTGGCTGGAGACGGAGGAGCCTAGGATCGTTACCTCTGGATTATCATGGGGGGGGGTAAATGCTATTCTTGTTTCTTTCACTCCCCAGAAGTGATAAATAACCCCAGAGCAAGATGAAACATAATCACAATAGTGAGAATTGTGCACAGTGCACAGGTTCACCAGTGAAAGTACCTGTTCCGCTCTTGAAACCCGGAGAGCCAAAGTCGTATTTGCTGCTCTCCTTGTACCAGGACTCGGCCACCTCTGAACCTGCGAACAGATGAACTCTCATGTATGTCATGCTAGATATCGCACACGTATTAAAGGGGAACCGCAGGCCCGGTTTCTCAGACCTGTTATTAAAGGCTGCGACCGTATCGTACAGTTTTTACAAATTTCGAATTAGGCACAGAATCGCGAACTTTGTGAAAGCGCCGCAGGCCGTCGTGCTGTCGCAAACTCGCCTTCGAGGTCCCAGGAATTGTGACGTGAGGCGGCCCTTCCTGCTCACTAGTCCCTGTGATGACTGATGTGCTGTGATGCACGAGCGAATAAGCACAGGTCGACATTCCACTGCAGAAATGTTTCAATGTGGTCTGCAGGCAGAGTTAACGAGTATGTTTCATTTATCAGCCAAAACGTTTTGAAGTCGAGAGCAATATTTCGATTGGATTAAAAGAGCTGGATTCACAAGCCTGCTTGATTACAGTGCCAAAGGGCCACTTCACCTCACCGGAGGTTTGTCTCGTTTTATAAGTTACTGTGTCCATTTTACTTTCATTGCAGTTTGAAATAAACTCATCGGTGCTGATTCTTCCTAACCCTGAAATACAAACACAGCATTGTGGTTCTCCTTCAATCTCTGCGA